AACTTGTCAAATCTTTGTATGGTTTGAAGCAAGCGCCTAAACAATGGCATGAGAAGTTTGACAACGCAATGTTGTCAAATGGGTTTAGAATCAACGAATGTGACAAGTGTGTTTATGTCAAAGACACTGACAGAGGTTATGTCATTTTGTGTCTATATGTTGATGATATGCTCATTATAGGTAGTAACGATGAAATGATCAAAACTACCAAGAAGTTGTTAAACTCTAAATTTGACATGAAGGATATGGGCATTGCAGATGTTATTCTGGGAATTAAGATTACCAGAATCTCTGGCGGAATTGTACTTTCTCAGTCTCATTATGTTGATAAGATACTTGAGAAGTTTAGTGGATCAGATACGAGTGTGTCATCGACACCTGTAGACTTAAGTCTACACTTTACCAAGAATAATAAAGAGAGTGTCTCTCAGTTAGAATATTATCGGGTAATTGGAAGTTTAATGTATTTGATGAGTTGTACTAGGCTAGATATAGCTTACTCGGTTAGCAGGCTTAGTAGATACACAAGTAATCTTGATGTTTCTCATTGGAAGGGCATTGTGTGGGTGTTAAGGTATTTACGCTACACTCGGGATTATGGGCTGCATTATACTCGATATCCAGCGGTGCTTGAAGGGTTTAGTGACGCGAATTTGATATCAGATATAAAGGACTCAAAGTCCACTAGTGGATATGTGTTCACTCTTGGTGGGGTAGCCGTGTCTTGGAAATCTTCCAAGCAAACGTGTATATCTAGATCAACGATGGAATCAGAATTTATTGCTTTGGATAAAGCAACGGAAGAAACTGAATGGCTTTGCCATTTCATTGAAAATATTCCACGTTGGTCTAAACCTGTGCTAGCTATTTGTATTCATTGTGATAGTCAATCTGCAATTGGTAGGGCACAGAGTAATATGTATAATGGAAAGTCTAGACATATCCGTCGTAGACATAATTCCATACGACAACTACTCTCGAATGGAGTTGTCTCTTTAGACTATGTAAAGTCTAAGGACAACATTGCGGATCCGCTAACCAAAGGGTTAAGTCGAGTGTTAGTCCAAACGTCGTCAAAAGGAATGGGGTTAAGGCCTTTGGAAGTAACCGGAATGGAAACCCAACCTAATTGACTGGAGATCCCAAGATCTAGGTTCAATGGGACAACCTAATTGCGTGTAACGATGGTGTGTCACTGAGGAGGTTAAACCTCCAGCCATTCCTTCTATTAGTGATACCTGCATGTGTAGAGGATAAGCTGAGCTTTTAATGACTCTTATGTGTTAAGCTGTTGAGCTAAGTATTGCAGGATACTTTAGTAGAGTCACCTATGTGAGTTTGAAGTGGGCCGCTTCTAGAAGAATTGGGCAGGCCAAGATTCTTTGAAACCACTCGCTGAACCAGGCTAGTGTCCAGGGCCACACAGGGCACACCAGTGAGAACACAATGGTGGTAGGAGTAATTCCCGTGTGAGATCTATTGTCTCAGTTTACATAAACAACAGAGCAGTTCAAGATGTCATGTGCACTGATCAGCCAGTAAACTCGATAAGTTTTCACTGGGAGAGGTTCAAAGCCAAAACATTAGGAAGGTGGATTCTCCATCTCCATCTGAAATTGGCTTCTAAACATTTGGAAATGTACTTTACTATGAATAGGCAATCTGACTTTGACTCAATACACCAGTATGTCAGACATATTTTCATCACTCTATTGTTAATGGAAAGACATTAAAGAATATAGGAAGTCTGGAGAAATGAGCTATAACTTTAGAAACAACATCGTGTATATATTTTTCTCTCAATCTTGCTGTCATTAGGAAGGTGGATTCTCCATCTCCATCTGAAATTGGCTTCTAAACATTTGGAAATGTACTTTACTATGAATAGGCAATCTGACTTTGACTCAATACACCAGTATGTCAGACATATTTTCATCACTCTATTGTTAATGGAAAGACATTAAAGAATATAGGAAGTCTGGAGAAATGAGCTATAACTTTAGAAACAACATCGTGTATATATTTTTCTCTCAATCTTGCTGTCATTAGGAAGGTGGATTCTCCATCTCCATCTGAAATTGGCTTCTAAACATTTGGAAATGTACTTTACTATGAATAAGCAATCTGACTTTGACTCAATACACCAGTATGTCAGACATATTTTCATCACTCTATTGTTAATGGAAAGACATTAAAGAATATAGGAAGTCTGGAGAAATGAGCTATAACTTTAGAAACAACATCGTGTATATATTTTTCTCTCAATCTTGCTGTCATTAGGAAGGTGGATTCTCCATCTCCATCTGAAATTGGCTTCTAAACATTTGGAAATGTACTTTACTATGAATAAGCAATCTGACTTTGACTCAATACACTAGTATGTCAGACATATTTTCATCACTCTATTGTTAATGGAAAGACATTAAAGAATATAGGAAGTCTGGAGAAATGAGCTATAACTTTAGAAACAACATCATGTATATATTTTTCTCTCAATCTTGCTGTCATTAGGAAGGTGGATTCTCCATCTCCATCTGAAATTGGCTTCTAAACATTTGTATATATTTTTCTCTCAATCTGTTCTTTTCTCTCAGGTACAGTGGTCCCAAAGAGTGCCAATTCTCAAGCCAAAGGAAGGTGGATTCTCCATTGCCAATTACTTTCTTAATTAGGGGTATAGCTTCTCTTCTTAAACTGAAAAGTTTCCTCACTGTCAAAGACACATTAGAAGGGACTTGCATAGTCCTGAAGCATCTAGATTTGATAATATATGTGTGAATCCACTTTACCCATAGGATATTTGACTTTTTGCATATAGCCCAAAGGGGTTTCATAATTGTAGCTTGATTCTAATGAATGATTGATTTAATTCCCAAAACTCCTCTATTTTTTGGACAGCAAACTTGTTCCCAACTTACTTTAGCATTTGTTAAGTGGTTTTCAACCCCTAACCCAAGGAAGTCTCTCATAATGGCTTCTATTTCTTTCAAGATTTGCTTAGGAAGGATAAAAACTAAGGACCAATAAACTTATATGCTGTTGAAAAGAACAGATTGAACAAGTTGGAACCTACCACCATAGCATAGAAATTTAGTTGTCCAACTGTTGATTCTATTCATCATTCTTTCATTAAGTTGCACACTCTGCAGCTTTTAGTCTATAGGAAATCAGAGGAAATAGTAAATAATTAACTGTCAATTTCCATTCTGGTGTTGGCCATGCAGTTTGTATCCTTGTGATTCTTAGATGATTTATTCTTGCCTTCCTCCCCACAATTTACACTTTCTTTGATCTCATCAATGGCAGAAATGGTAAACTCATGGGAACTATAATTAATTTAGACAGGTTAAATTATAATTTCACTCCTGTTTTCTTTGTATAATTGATATGTACAGTTTTTTTTTTTTTTTCACTAGAAGTGCATTTCTCTGTGAAATGAAAATTTGCAAGGAACCATGGGGTCATTTATGTTCCTCTCCCTAGGACAAGTGAGCTTCCCTTATATTACTAGTTGAGGACAGAAACCTTGAGAAGTGATTTTTTTCCTCACTTACTATATTTAAACAATTGTTGGCCTTTATAACTTTAAAATATCTGGTTATACACTGAAGATTTTCATTTTGGATTTGTTGATTCTATGTGTATGTCATATCTATATGGTAATCCAAACATTTTATACTAGTAACAGTCAAAGTGGTTTTTTTTTTTTTTTTTTGTTATTTTATCTTTTGTAAGACTAGAACAGTCTCTACAAATAGTAAGTTTATTCATATGTTTCTAGCGGTTTTTGAATTAATTTGTGTTTTTATTTTTCAGATCAGAAATTTAAGAGAGATGCAAAATATGGTTAAAGAATTCAAGACTCTAGTTTTTCAAGTTTTTTCATTTCTTAATATATATAATCACAGTTAAAAACTTTTTATTGATTCCTTTGTATTTACTTTTGAACATTTAACTTTCATTTATGAAATATATGATGTTATTCCATTCAATATGTGATTGTGATTCAAAGTATATTATATAGTGTGTATTACATTCTTCAAATGCGCATACAAAAATAATATTGATTATTTTTCAAATATGTTGGAACTTTTTTTTTTATCACACACATTAACTGTGATGAGAAATGCATATAACGTGTAATCTTATCTCATTATTAATCACAGGTTTTATTAGATATTAATTACACTAAAAATCTGTGATCTAAATGTTTATTATCATAGGTTTTATTAGTTATTAATCACACTTAAAAGATGTGATTTACATGTTATTAATCACAGGTTTTGTTAGATATTAATCATATTTAAATTCTTTTTTTTATCACAGGTTTTATTAGTTATTAATCACATTTAAAAGATTTGATCTAAATGTTTTTAATTACACTTAAAACATGTAATTTAAATGTTTTTAATTATACTTAAAAGATGTAATCTAAATATTATTATTTTTAATCACACTTAAAAGATGTGATGAAAGCATTTTTTAATGACACTTAAAAAGTGTGATTAAAAATGATCCCTTTTAATCACACTTTCAAAGACCACACTTTAATAAAACTTAAAATGTGTGATTAAAAAACATACATCACACAAAAAAAGTGTGATCTTTATCTGTATTTGTAGTAGTGTTTTTGAAACGAAGTTTGAAACATTTTATGTTTAAATGAACGGTTAATTCAGTTAAATAGAAAAAAAAAATTTCATTTTTTGTCTTCTACCCCTTTCAATTTGTGCCCTTCAATAGTTGGTGACAATGTGAAATGTTGTTTTGTAGGTGCATTGCATGTGCCTTGTTGGTAGTATACTTGGGGTTGTCATATGGCCTGTATGTTCCAGATTGGAAATTCAAGTTACTAAGCTCAACTTCTATTTTATCTGTATTTGTAGTAGTGTTTTTGAAACGAAGTTTGAAACATTTTATGTTTAAATGAATGGTTAATTCAGTTAAATAGAAAAAAAAAATTCATTTTTTGTCTTCTACCCCTTTCAATTTGTGCCCTTCAATAGTTGGTGACAATGTGAAATGTTGTTTTGTAGGTGCATTGCATGTGCCTTGTTAGTAGTATACTTGGGGTTGTCATATGGCCTGTATGTTCCAGATTGGAAATTTGAGTTACTGAGATCAATTTCTATGTCGCCCACAAATGGAAGCTTTGTTTACACTGTAAGATTATGCTCTGTACTCCTTAACTTTCCTACCAACAGTCGATTTGTCAAGTTGACACTCTCTTGGAAATTTTAGGGATGTTGGTAAGGAGACAATTTTTTTTTTTTTTTTTTTTGTGTAGTTGTGTGTGTGCGTGTGTGTGCGTGTTTATTGTGACTTGGTTGGATGGTGAGTTTGTTGACTTTGAAGTGGAATGAATGTGTGAGCTTACTTTCATCTCCAGTCACTGCTGTTGAATTTGAATATTCCAATCTTCATGCTTTTTCAGAGCATGTGATTTATTATGGAAACCATGTTTTGTAGTGTTCAAGTCAACTTAAGACAGAAGGATGTCTATGCAATTCTTAGTGATTATAGTGATTCTCAAATATTACTGCATTAAGCATCAACTGATTTCTTTCTTCTATTTGATATTGGGACATATATAATAGCAGAATACTTGCTAATATGTGAGAAATTACACAGAAGATAATCATCCATATTACAAAAACTTGTGAAGTTTGTCATATTAGGTGACATGTTCCACAAGAGGAGATCATGGACCTGCCTGTAATGCTGCTGCAATGATAGATCGTTGTGTTCTTGGTCTTAATCATCTATATACAAAACCTGTTTGTAAAAACTTGAAGGTAACTCGATTCTGAAGGTAAAATTTTGTAAAATTCTGGTTTGCATTCTGCAATCAGTTGATTCCTATATGGTATCCCCTTCACAGGAATGCAATATTTCCAGCATTGGCCAAATTTCAGATAATTCACCGTCATGGTGTCATACTCCTTTTGATCTTGAAGGTATATTAAGGTGACCAATCTAATCCTTTCTTTTTCCTTGATGATGGTACTTCAAAACCTTTGTTCTATTATGTATCGTCTTATCATTGCTGTCTTCGTTGTTATTACATGAAAATGCAATACACTTGAGATATTGGTATTTTTTATTTATATCATAACATAGTAAGAAAATGAATTTAAAAGAAAAAAAGACTTACACATACATCTATACTATATATTAAGCAAAAAGAGGTTTTTAACCCCAAACGTTGTGGGAGGTTCAATCTCCCAATTTAAATTTCCTAATTTTTTGATTTTTTTTTTTAAAAAAATCTTAACATTTATTAACTTCTTCCAACTCCCAAGTCTTACCCTCATAATAACACTTTAATACATTAAGAACAAGCATAAAAAAAAAATTCTTTGAAATGCAACACATATGAATTTGTTGAAAAGTCCCAACACATATGATTATTATCCCTCATAATAACACTTTAATGTATTAAGATCAAGCATAAAAAAAATTTCTTGAAAAGTCCAACACATATGATTATTATCAAAATATTAAACTTTAATGTAATATAAAAAAGAAAAAAAGAAGACATTTAAAAAAAAAATTAAAAATCACAAATCACAATTTACATATATAGATAATTGTAAACACAATCTGTGCATAGCACGGGTGATATGCTAGTATCTATACTATATATTAAGCAAAATGGGATTTTTAACCCCAAGCCTTGTGAGAGTCCCAATCTCCCAATTTAAATTTTCTGATTTTTTGATTAAAAAAAAATCTTAGCATTTATTAACTTCTCCTAACTCCCAAGTCTTACCCTCATAATAACACTTTAATGCATTAAGAACAAGTATAAAAAAAAAATATCTTTGAAATCCAACACATATGAATTCCTTGAAAAGTCCCAACACATATGATTATTATCCCTCATAATAACACTTTAATGCATTAAGAACAAGCATAAAAAAAATTTCTTGAAAAGTCCAACACATCTATCTATATTTATACTATATATTAAGCAAAAGAAGATTTTTAACCCCAAGGCCTGTGGGAGCTTCAATATCCCAATATGAATTTTCTAAATTTTTTATTAAAAAAAAAAAACTCAGCATTTATTGATTTGGTCAAAATCCCCTGATCAGCATTTATTAACTCTTTTCAATCCACATGTCTTTCCACATGCCTGCATTTATTGATTTGGCCAAAATTTTCTGATCAGCATCCCCTGATGCGCATTTAAAATCCTCATACAAAATAATTATAGATACAATCTGTGTATAGTTCTGCAGTAATCCTTTTCACTTCCTCTCCAACACTATAATTAGTGATAAGATTTGTTTAAATTATTTTTATAAAAAATTTTAAAAACATAATTTTTTATATACTTAAAAAAAATCTAAAATAATATAATTATCTATAATTATCCGTGCATAGGCACGAGTGATAAGCCTTAGTTGATTTATATCACGATAATCAAGAGAAATAAAACTTGTTCCAATGCAGGTCATGGGTTCAATTTCTCGCTTAGGGGGAGTTGAATTAAGGGAGCGCAAGCATTTAGGTGCTTTGCCAAGGGTGGGGAGATTTTCTCCATAGGTGTTAACTAACAACTAACACTAACATTTGTCGATAAAAAACAAAAAAAAGAGTAAATAAAATTTAAAAAAAATAAAAAACAAACAGACAAAAAGAGGACATATATTTGGAATTATTGGAAATTAACTACTCCAAACACACACACAAAAGAAAAAAAAAAAAAAAAAACATTCAGGAACCGCCGCGCGGCGCCGCCGCGCTATGACCGTGACACTATCGTGACCACACACACCTGACCGGTGACCACAACACGTGACGCACACCACCACCATGACGTGACACACACCCTATGACCGTGACCACCACGTGACACCACACACTACACACATGTGACGTGACAGTGACCGTGACCACCACCGTGATCGAAAACCGTGATGTGACCGTGACCGTGACACCAACGTGACCGTGACGCACACCACCACCAATGACGTGACCATGACGTGACCGTGACGTGACCCACCAACCACACCAAACCATCACATCAACTACCACCACCATCATCACCATCACTCAGTACCACACATACCACCAACGGGTCAACCACCATCACAATCACTACCAAACATCACATCACTACACACATCACTACCCACCACCTGTCACACATCACCACCATCACCGTGACCACACCATCACCACCCGCACCATAGACAAAGCAACAGTCGCGGCAGCAATACGGGCATCGATCTCTTCTTTTTGATTTTATTATCTCTATCAGAAGTCGCGCTTAAGCAAAGCAAAGATGAATAATAGACATGATCGCAGCCTGCATAATGAATTATGTAAACAATAGATCATGAACCAGAACATTAACCAGCAAGTCCTTCTTCACCTGCTTTCCTGCACCACCACCCAACAACATCAAAGTACGCTTGCCATCCTCTGTGTCTCGATCAAGTTCTGAAGATTGAATAATGCTTTTATAACTTATATAACATAGAACTTGCTATGGCTATTGTTGGCAAGATATTTCAACCTTATCACCAGCATTCTCCATGCCCAAGTTTTCTTGCATGGACACCACCATTTTATTTTTGGACCTTTCTCCATTTTGAAATTCAAGCTGTATTGTTGCTTTCAATATGATTTTCCAATTTGACCACTTTTGTTTTTGGAGTTAATGACACTAGCTAACACAGTTTATTTTTGGTTAGGGCATTTGAAACCATATACTCCATCAAGCGTATTTAGATTTGAATTTTTGTCACAAAAGTTGTAACTAGGATAATGTAATAAAAAAACTAACTTTCCCAATCGCTTATTAAAAAAATTATTATTAGCTTAGTTGAGGTTAATAATTGAAATAAATCTTATGGGTTTAATTATTTTTTTGAAAATAATAAAACGCCTTCAAGCTGGATATTTTTTTCTAGATAATGTTAAATTGTAACATAATAAATTAATAAAACTGGTTTTCAATGAATAAAAACTTTTGATAGTAGATAATTTAACTTGAAGAATGGAGGAACAACTCAAATTTATTTTTCAAAAATAAAGAAAAATATTTTATTTATTTATTATAATTTAGAAAAATTTGTAAACAATTTTTTTTTTTTTTAAAATACTACGGACACCAACCAAATTTTTTATTATAAAATTACTATTTATTAAGTTTAATAGCTAAAATCATTTTTTTTTCATTGGTTTTACTCAACGAAAGTAAGCAAATGTTTAGATTGAAACAAATTAATATTAGAGTTCAAATTGTCAAATTAAAAACTAAGGCTTATTTTTGTTATAGCGTGAAACTTTCGGAGTTTTATTTATTTAATTTTTATTTTTTTGTAATTTTTACTATAATACTAGAATATTCTGTGGCATTTTTCTTGCATTGATCGCAACTGGATTTTAATTTTTCACTGTTTTTTTCCCCATTTTTTCCAAGTTGAAAATGAAAATTCACGGAAATTTTATTGGTTTTTTCTGGGAGGGGGCACTGTTTGTTTTCTTTCATATTGAAAGCTTAAACTTGTCAAATTTTATTGGGAATATATTTTTTTCATTACGATTTGGAAATACACAATACAACCAATAGTAAATAAATTTTGCGTACCTATATTGTTTTCTTTCCTTTATATTTAAATCACTTAACAAAAAATGTTTTCATTTTTGTAAACTAAAATATATACTTTATCATTAACTAATCATTGTGTCCTTATAATTTCTGTATTAATTTCAAATATTGATATCTTATTAAAAAAAAAAAAAAAAGTCATCAATATAATATGTTTAAATTGTAGATTTTATTTTTTATTTTTTTTAAATTTGAAAAGGTCAGTATAACTTTATCCTTTATTTTGCTTTTCCTTGGTTTTTTCTTTTGTTTAGAGTTTTTATCGCTAAGTAACTTCTTTTGGTAGATTGATAAATCTTAGACACGAATCGTATGTTTCAGGATTCATTTGAGAGAAATTAGTCGGGCTTGAAATGGATTTCATTTTCCGAGCCATTTTTAGTTATTTAAACCTATTCACTTTTTAAAATTTGTTAAGTAAAATAAGGAAATTAGTACTGAGGTTCTCTTCCATTTTTTGGTAATGAAGAGATCCACAATATTATTTTTTTGATGTCTAAGGTCCTAAAACCACTCCCATTTATCAACAAAGAATTTGATATATTTCACAATACTCTCTATCTCTCTCTCTCCTGCTGCTAGGGGGTGGGCAAAGGTTTATCCGACCGCTCCAAGCCCACCGCATATAATAGGGCGTTTCACAAATATAATGCGCGGCGGATGGTGGTTTGAAATATGACAAATTTGCGGGTCGCGGTTTAAAATCCGCAACCCGAAAAACCGCCCGCACTTTAATTTTTATTAATTATTCATTATTTTTTATATACAATTTGTAACTTTTTACAGGAGTACCATTATATTCTCTATGACACTAGGATCTTTATTTTTAAGTATTTCTCAACTTCTAATGCCGGATAGAATTATCAAGTTTAAAAAACTTGGTTTTTATATGATTTTCATTAGTGATTCATCTTTTTTCTAAATAAAATTTTCTGTCTGGTGGTCGATGAAATTTCTAGTTTGATTATTAATTATGAACTTGCAATTCTAATTGAGTTATACTCTTTAATTGCATTGATATCATTTTTTTCTTCATGGAAAAATGCTGGTGTACGGGTCTCTTTTTTTGGGTACTTTCATTTAATGCATTGATATTTAATTTTTATTTGTAAACTATCAGAAAGTTGTTATCAACAATATATAAACTGAATCTGATGCTAAATTTGATAAGGAAAAAAAAACTCAAAAAATTATTTTTTAAAGAAAGAAGTATAAACTGTAAAAACGCCGAGCAACCGCCTGCAATCTTGCAAACCCTATCCGCACAACCCGCACTGCGGGTGGTTGCGGTTGATTTTTCCCAACCGCATAAATGCGGGCGGTTCAAACTGAACCAACCGCCCGAAATCGATCCGCGAACACCCCTAACCTACAGTCTTCCTTTCCTCTCTCCCTCATCTTCTCTCTCTCTCTCTCTCCTCTCGTCGGATCTCAAGATGAGAATCAACTCCGTCTTGTAGCGC